GCTAATCTTTAAAATGAAAGACCAATTTTCTTCCTGTTTTAAAGTTTACAGTTCATGAAGGGAAGCTCTGTGAAGAGAATGCATTCAAGAGCTATTCTTAGACTGACATTTTCAGTGATCAAAAAAATCAATTCAGCGAGGAGATTTAACTGATTTGATATTTCAATCTCTATTGAGCCAGAATTCCTGTATGTACATTTGGTTTCTCTGTGGCAATACAGAAATGGCTCTCATTAATATTTTGTCTGGAAAGTCAGACTCATTCTGCTCCTTCCCCTTACAACTCTGAGTCGGAGGTCATTTCATGGCAAATTTAGAGCCCAGTAGATTTTCTATGAAATCCTGCAGGGATTGAGCTGAAAGGTGAGAAGACACCATTTAAGTGTAAGAAAACATTCTCCGTCACTTAAGGCATATTTAAAGTCGTGAGATATGATTTTTTTTTTCAATCTTTGCGTGTTTTATTTGTATATGTATGCATGAAATACCTTCATTTATTACAGAATGATGTTCCAATTCTGAGGTTATTTCTACTACCAGGAATGTCCTTATTTTTAATACCTGTTCTTGACTGGGAATAGCCTGATAGAAGTTACCATCTGCTTCCAGTTTGCATACAAAATCCCAATTAGCTAAAGTTCATATATGTTTTGCAAGGCAATTGTGCATACTTTTTTCAGAAATAAGAAAGTATTTGTCAGATAGCATCTGAATGTGCTCATAACCACAGCCATCTTAGCTTGACTTTGTCTGCCCTCTAACATGCTCAAATAAAAGATCATCAATTTGGCTGATGAAAGATTACAGCCTTTGATTACCACTGCTATGAAGTACCCTGTTTCCCCTTGATTACAAACACACAGAGTCAAATTTAACAAAGAAGCCTGATTTTTAACTCCATAGGGAGAATGGACCTTTAGCATTTCTCAGATTTGCCAGTGCTCTGAAGTACAGCAGCTACGTGCCATTTTCTGTGTAAGCAACTTGAGTTTCTTATAGAAATAACCTCGGTATGGATTTGTCAAACATTTTTGGTGCGGCAACAGTATAAAATGATCCTAATCAGAATTATCAGCACACATTATTAACTTCAAAGTCACGCTCTCAATATGAATATTTAGGTTTTCTTGTTAAATACGTAGATATTAAAACCCTGCTGTGCGTCAGAAAAATTATCGTATCCTTCCTTATTGTACACAGGTTTCAGAAACAAGACAGAGAGATGATGGCTCCTCTCTTCTCCCACTGAAATCAATGACATTACCGGGTAAGTTAACTGTTAAATAGAGGTCAATGTTGAGTATTTTGAAAATCCCACATTCCAACTAGTTAACTTCCTATGCTCAATGTTTTACATTAAATTAAATAAACCTTATTTAGTTTTGATGTACTTTTCACAATAAGTGTGTGCACAGCTGCCCAGGCTTGAGCAACAGAAAAGAAATATTAGGGTGCCTGAAGAGAACTTAGAACCACAAGATTTAACATTTGGACAGCAACGCTATCATCACATCTTTCAAGTAAATCTAATTATTCAAAAGTACTAAATGATTTTCTGTACTCATTAGTTCCTACCGTGAAACACAAAGCTGGGACAACTTAGAGCATTATTCTGTTTCCTTTACAAAAAGTATCTTTTCCCGATGAAAAGATATACAAAAGATTGATTTTGTAACAGTAAAATAAAAATCACTTTAAAATCAAATGCTAATACTGAGCACTGCCATTGCTTAAGTGATGCCAGCAGCCTCAGACTGGTATCCTGTCTGAAGAAGGAAAATGGATTCTTTTTAAAGATGGCATTCTAGATTTTCCATCTTGCTGTTTGAATGCTCTTGCACTGCTGCAACTGGTTAGCACTGCACATCTGGCTGAATTGTCTCACACTCGTCTTTTCCCTAAACCATTGTGTATGTGTGTGATGGGTTTTTTAAAAAATACTGTATGCCGACTGAAACAATGCCCTATTGCAGACTGCTACACACAATAATTAGAGAGCATATTTTTTCCTGATTTTGTTTCCAATGTCAAAATGTGCTATTTTTAAATTAAGCCACCATGAAATTCTAAGTATGTTTTTACAGTATTTTTCGTGTTGGGGCTTGGTTTTTTCAGGCCTCTTAATCTTCTAGGCCCAGACTTCACACTGGAAGTGTTATCTCATAAAATCTCTAAATTTCAACAACTTTTACTCTGCAGCTGCTATTTAAAACTTACATTTATCAGGAAAGAGAGCACATAACTCAAATGTTCTAATAAAAATAGTTTAATAGAAGCAAAACAGATAAATGTTCCATTCAGTAAAAGGTCAATTTGTCATACTTTTGGCTACAGAAGCACTACCATTCAGCCAAATTTGATTCCAAAGCCAAAAGTTCTACGTCCTGCTGCTGCGGACCATAGTATTAAGATTTTGCAAAGTTCATCAGACTAATGAGGGGCAAAAAGCCAATCTTTTCTCATAAAATTACTGAGACAGTACACCCCAATGACCAGATGTTGTTACTTATAAATACTATTATTTACAACTTTTGAAAATGTAAGTATCTGAAAATAAATTGAGGGGCAGAGGTAAAGTGATTATTTCTTCCATAAAAATAAGCTAACAAATATCCAGAGCCCTAAAAATGCAAGGTCCTGGTTTGGTTTCTGGACTGCTCTCAGTTCTGATTAGCTAAGAAGTCCACTGCCATGAGGGAGCTCCCAGCCAATACACAGACAGCATTCCTGGATCCTGCACGGGTTGCATTTGACACCGGCACAGGACGCATGAGGACCCACAGAAATCACCAGAGCACTTTCTGTGCTTCTGAAGGCCGACAGGCCGCGGCTGCACTAATTTGTGCTCCCACAAGCACTGCCTTATACAGTGCAGTTACGAACATAGGACGTTCCATACAAACATGTGGAAGGACTTCTTGACAGTAAGGGTGATGGAGCACTGAACAGGCTGCACAGAGAAGTGGTGGAGTCTCCTTCTGTGTCTATCTAAGCACACAAAACCTTGGATACATTCTTGACTGCTCCTGTGTTGACTACTGGGAATCCTCATCTGTAGATGAGTTGCTCTCTTTTTCATCACAGGTGCTAAATATTTGGCTGCAGACAGCAGGAGTTCCTGGCAAAAATGTGGGATTGTGTCTCTTGTGTATGCACAATTATGTTTGAGACACATTAACTTTTAGCACCATTTTCAACCAGCAAGCAAGAGAAATGTTGGGACACATGAGGACAAGGAAAGACATTAAGTGTAGTCCCTGTCTTCCCTTTGATCCACCGCAAAAATGCTGAAGAGAGTTTTGCACCTTTTTTTAGAACAAGTCTGACATAATTCCACTGATTACTCACAGGCCTTGGGTAAATTCAGCTCAAGATACACACTGTATCATTTATTCTCTGAAGAAAGCTCTGCAGTATTTCTTGGAATAATGAAACCTGGCTTCTGGTTTTCCACTTACAGATCTCTACTACATAGTAAAAGTTGGGCTTTCTAACCTCTGTCAGTTTTATGGACTTTGCAGATACCCAGTTTCTCTCTGAACAGATGCTCTCCAGTGACTTTGATCAGGAGTTCCCAAGCTTAGCTCATTTGGTTACCACCACCAGAGATGCTGCTGACCTGTGATGTGAGCACCTATGCAAAAGCAGAAGCTTCTTGGCAGGCCAGGTACACATGTATAAAAGAAGCACATCTGTCACCTCCAACCTATTCCTGTAAACTCTCACCCATCAAATTGGGATCCCCAGTTGCATACCTTCAAATACCATTGCACTGTGTCTCACCTTACAAACTACAGCCTCTGCTAAACATGTAATCCCTTACTTACCTTTTGACTATACATAGCACCAACACAAAGCAAGGTGACAGTGACTGTGGCTGCATCCTGCTTCTTGGAAAGCCACCCCATCTTATGAACTCTGCTTCATGCTGCCTTAGCCCTACTTGATACCTTCCTGAAGCACCCACGTTGAGCTGTGCAATGTGAGTTGGAGAACTTAATGCTGAGCAGATTATTGAAACTACAACCACACTGAGAAGCCAGCCAGAACTGATCAGAAAAAACTTTCTGTGTGGAACTGTTTACCTTATGGCTTAGAGAAGTGCTTGTATACAAGCATAGTTAACAGCTGCCATCACCGTGTACCACGGTGTCTTCTTGAGTTGTCTTTGTAACATAATTTGGGAATTTCTGACTTACTTAGACAATAGGCAAAAATATGCATAACAGTCATATTTAGGTCTGTTCTTTTCCTGATGATGTTCTAATTTAAGATCCTAGTTTCACTTAACCAGACATTTTTACTGGAGAGAACTTCATTCCCATACAGCACTTTCAAGAACCATGACTCCTCCAGAAATTCTTATGACATGAGCCAAATTCTGCTAGCACTTGTATTGGTAACAGGTCACATACTTGGGGTTTGGTTTTAGACTAATGTTTGTTTAAAAAAGTGAGGAATACATTTTGCATTATAAGCATGTTCATTCCAAAAAAACTGTGAAAAAAATAAGAAGAATCAGATGGAAGAATTTTACCTCTACTTTGTGCTGATTATATAATTTATCAAAAAAAAAAAACCCACCAAAAAACTGTTTCACAGGCCTCCAACAGATGCTCTGCTGTTAGAGCCATGAAAAGTCATTCAGGGAGAGGGTAAAGGCCTCGGGGGTGTGGTCCACATCCTTTAGCACATATATCCTCAGTCCTGGCCTGCAGATAGCACATCTGGTCCAGGCATGGACCTGATGGTTGTCCAAAACACAGGCTTACAATAATGCTCCTTTTTCAGCTTTAATGTAAGCCTGTTTTCTTGCCAAATTCAAATCCTGCCAAAATTTGGCCAAAGATATTTGCTCAATTGTGCAATATCTTAAGTTTATATCCAACAACTCTTTGCAAAAACAATTGCATCGTGTTTTTAATGTTTACAGGCATTAACAATATTTAATTTTAAGTAGAATTTTACTGCTGACACTCTTGTGTTTTACAGTAAATTACCTTGGAGAGGGTTTTTCCATTAGCTTTTAGGGTCACGAGTCCTGCACAGCACACCAAAGCACTGGAGCTAGAAAGACCAGAACTTGGAGGGATGGTTCCATCTAGCAGACAATTCATTCCAGTTGGGTTATTAAGACCAAAATGTTCCTAACAATGAAAAAATAAACAATCTCAGTTTCAAGTACAGACAGGCTCAGGCTTGCAATTATCTGATACTTAGAAAGAGAATCTTTCTGCTAAGTTGCTGGAACCAAGGACCTGCTTCTGGTATCTTCAAAATAAAGCAAAATTTTCATTCTATTCTTCAAGAACAAAGCCAATGGTAGGGCTTCAGCTAAAGGTATGTCTGCAATTCCTGTGCACAAACATATATGGGCTGACAGAACTGTACCCCGAGCAGAATTCAGGGTGGGCTAAATGTCCAAGAATTTACCGAGCTTCGTGGGTGGGTTTTACAGCACTGGCTCAGCTCTAAGCTGTCGTGGTGACAGTACCAGAGGTTACCTCTACTTTTGTCCTTAGCTCCTCACTTTATGCATCCCGAAGTGCGTAAAGTCCACATCATGCCTTACTTCTAATGCAGACACGTGGTATTAGAGCCACGTCATGCTGATCAGGAAGTAGTAGCCATTTATCTGAGGTCAAAGCCAAATACTCCTATCTCCTGGGCTACCCATGGTACTGGCACTGAGAAAACCACAGTGGTACTGGAAAGACGTTATGCTTTGGGAGGAACCAGCAGTGATAGTATCTGTCATGCTATTTCTAGAATAAATAGTGTCACATTTTTACATATATGAGAAGTTATCAGAGATGATACACTTAACACAGAAGTCGTAAGTCCTGTGCACATATTTTTTAATTACTCTTTAGTTACTTTTTTTTCAAATTTGCCATAACTCTAAAATTTTACTCGTTACTTTGAAGAAAACATGCAAAATACATACAAAAAATCTTCAAATATATATAGAGGATATATGAATAGCTACATTCTGATATAGATTGATATGTTGATAAACTATGTTATAATAACCAGAAAAATACTGTCAATGATCAGAGAAATGGCTGTGTTTCTATACAGAAATGCCCACCTTCAAAAGATTTCTACTTTTCCTAACCATAAATACCAAAGGTAGAGATCAGAAAACACAAAGCATCTCCTTTAATGTTTTCTGTTATCACTTCAGATTAAAATATCCCTTTCTACAAATGGAAGGGAATTCATACCTGAAATACTACTTCTGCCCTTCATGAAGAACACTAGACAGGCTTGTTCAAAAACAGACAATGCTTGAGTAACCAGAAACTGATCCACAGTTTCTGGACTGTCTTGAATGTGAATCAAGCTTGCAAACTTATCACGCGATGTTTAAATAGAAAATGTACTTCAGTCTCAAAAATGAAAATGGACTTTGCCAAGTTCTGCAATAGTTCTGTCCCAAAAGGATAGCATGTTCAACTTAATATAAACAGATTATCCCGCTGGACCCTCTAAATACTTGTATTTCAGTGTTTCTTAAGTCCGTAACATTTGTGCTTATTTTCTGCCAGTACTAGAGACTGAAAACCTGCTTTGCAAATTAACCTTCAAGTGTAAAAGTTTGTCCTTAGGAAACAAATCTCAGTAGCAGGCTGCAAAACACGTCAATTCGTCAAGCTAGCCTTAATACATGAAAAGATACACTGCAAAGAAACTTAATCTGTATCTTTACTTCTAGAGTCAATGCAATTTAAATGCATATTACTGAGCCATACAAAATTGAGAATACTCATGTTACTGCAAACATAGGTCTTTTTTTTTTTTTATGGGGGGTAGGGGCATGCTAAACATGGGGAGGGAGGGGTTTACTTAGGAGCTGTGGATAATAATAAAGTGATTTGGTCCAAATATCTTCTTTGGAAGATATAAGTGCCAGGTCTGATGCAGGCTTTCTTGGCTGTTTGCAATGCTTACCTATGGACCATCCTGTGGGGTAACTTAGATGGCCTACCCAGAGGAAAGTTTCAAAAGCACATTTTTCCATAATTTGAGCTGGTTGTGGATACCTGACCTTGTTTATCCCACTGTTTATCCCACCTGCCCCTCCAGAAAAGTCACTGGACTGACACTAAGTTGAGAAGTTACTGTGTTTTTTAACTCAGAGGGCCATGAATCATTTGCAAAGGGCAGGTGAGATTTACAAGAAGTCCCAGTTCTAAGTTCAGGCTGCCTCCCAGGACAATACTGACGATCAGCAGTTGGTTTCACAAGCAGTTCAGTCTTCAAACCAGTCCGGAGACAGGCTAGCTCACAGAGGAGAAGATAAAACTCAAATGAGCAGACAGGAAAACGTCTGTCTGTTCAGCGTTCCAGCCTGTACTGTACGTGTGCTGTTTCCTGCATAGCTGTACTCTTAACTCACTTAGGAAATTTTGAAATTCCCATTCAGATTCCACACTGTAAGTCTTGAATAAGTAGTGATTCTTACTGGATTATTCCTTCTGTATGCAATTTATTTATTTACTTTTATGATTTCTTTTGCCTACTGCATGAGCTTCACTCCGTTGCTGAGCATGAGTTGTAGGTTTCCAACATTAATGGAAATTAATTGCATTTTTTAAAATGTTTCCAAGGGAGGAAAAGGACTAAAATATGACCTTTGTGTCCTGGCAGACAAGCCTCTGAACCTCTCAAAAGCAAACTTTAATTATGTGATTCCATTGGGAAACATTCTTCTTTACTCTAAAATATAGAAATGCCATTGTGATTCATGAGTTTGATTGTAACTATACTGAATAAGAAACTATTTGTTATAATAATGTATGTAATAAGTATGAATATAGCAGTCTGCAATATTTTAAAACAAAACCACTCATCTCTTCAAATAATTGTATATTTAAAATAAAAGAGAATGCAGGGAGGTAGGTTGAAGGTGAATAGATACGCTTTTCATATTTTACTTCTGTGTTAATTTCATAAGTTAAATGAATTTGGCTTACCTGAATACCCTTCAGTCCACACAAGAAGTAGTTATGCCACTGAGGTTTGGTTTTGTTAATCTGAATGTTATTGACGGTAGTAGTGAAATCCCTGCAAAAACAGAAAAACCTTGTGGCTTTAACTTGTCAGTACCTTTAGTGTGAAAAAACATGGCTTATTACTGCCACCTGCTGATACACAAAAGCATTTCTATGTTAATCATTTGTTTCAGTGCATTTGGTTTCTCATACAGATCTTCGTTAGTCAGTTCTAAAGTGTATTTTAGTGTATTTTAATTCGGAAAATAAACTGCCTTTAGCACCCGTAGTCAAGGCAGCATGCCTTCCATCACATTTGTATAAGCTCTCCCAAATCTCTTTGAAAAGCATAAATCTAAGTAATCGCTCCTGTCAAACCTAGAATAGAGCTGAATATTCTTCAGGCTTCCCTGTGATCCCTGCTCAGGAATTCATCTTCATTTGCTCTGAATGGCAGATCACTAAATAGGCATATTGCTGCAAAATTCTATTACGTACGTTACAGGGTTTAATTAAAATAACAGTTTATCCATTTTCAGCATTTTTTTCATCTATCTCCAAGATAATGCTGATAATGAATTTTGAAATAATTTTGAATGTGTTAAAATGGTAAAGTTGAGTGTTGCTGAAGGAACCAATGCTACAGATAGGTTCTGCGGAAATGCCCATGGAGTGATGCGCCTTGGAGATACGTGCCTTAATCATCACAAAAGGCAGATTGTTTACAAGCCTATATTGCCAAACACCCAATAACTGTATCTACCTGAAGGCAGTACAGCAAATGTCTAACAGAGAAAAAGTAAAGGCACTGAGAATGTCAGAAAAAGATTTAAAAAATTACTCAAACCTGGCAGGCTGCAATTTGTGTTCCTGCTAACCTACAGTCTGATGCTAGCTATGTATTGGCAGCGTACAACCTACGGATCTCACACCCAGTATCAACTTAGAGTGACCACTTTGCTGCTTACACACTCCATTTCAATATTCAGTACATGATACAAAGCTATCAGAGATTGCTGTACAGTTTAATGAGTTGCTCTTCTTCAGTCGGAACGGTTCGGAATAGTGCCACTTACAGGACTCCATCAACAGTGCAGCACTGAGGAGTTGTACAAAGAAAAGTGCAAACTGTTGGTGACTGCAGAGCAGTAAGAAAGATCTGAACAGGAGTGCTACGATTACAATACAAGTGAAGTTCAAGAGTAGCAGTAAATTCTTCCAATTTGATTCGTGTGTGTTTGGAGCAGTCTTCCTGATAATAAAACAAAATTGTTTTTCTTATGGCTTTTAAACAAAAGGAAAAGAACAAAGTACAGTAAAATATGATCGTCAAAATTCATGAACAATAAAATAATCCTACGCTTCTTTAAGCTTGTTTTACACAATGATGGTATTTTTAAAAAGCAAAGATGATGGACAACAATGTGTAGGAGTGATTAAAAGAAAATGAATTTGAAGTCCTCTTTTCCTTGAAAAAGAGTTCTAAAGTATTTTATATACATAATTATTTTTATACAATCAGACAAAGTTAAGCTTAAATGAACAAAAAGACATATACTATGGGATATAGTTGCTGGCTCTCTAGATAAATTAAAATAATGACTTCTTAAAATGCATTTTGCATATTTCTGAAATCTTCTCACACAGAAAAAGAAAGAAAAGTTGGCTTTGAATTTGGCAAGATTCACATGCACATAATTCATACAAACACAGGATGTGGAACTGGCAAGGTCCCCAGAATACTGAAGTCTATTTTTTTTGTTATCACATTCAATTTGTTATAAAAACTCATTCCTAAATGTCCAAGCTTTATCTTAAATCAGTAAATCTTCAATCCTGCCTTTTGTCCTCATAGTGGCAGGTAGGCAGCTTGATATGAGTACTTTGAGGAAAAAAAAAGCAAAATTTACCATTAATGTAAAAAAACCTGATATTGTTTATTCCACACCTTCTATTTTGCATGAGGATCCCCTCCTCCAAGGCTAGATAGAAGCATTTAATTGGTCTGCATAATGAGAAGAGATCAGTTTTTTAAATAATGTGAAAAAAACACGTGGGTGATGTGTTCTTCCTTCCTTGATTAGTAATTAATCCTTACTACTGAAGACCAATTTGGCATTTTCTCACAGACCCTCCATGTTCTGTAGATTTTTTAGTTTATCTGACCTTTTAAAGAAGATTCTCAGGTCAAGCTTTCACGCTATCCTTTGATGCTATCCTTCGATATTTCTGAAGGCATTTTGTACGTGTTTTCTCCATGAAAAAAGATGCTGTGTGAAAGGAAGGTATCCAGAATTTCAAAAGTCTTTAACTTTTGAACAGCATCTTCATCTAAGTAATATTTAACAATCATTTGATCAGTTGGGATGCTTTATGACAAAAAGCAAACACAACAGTGTTTTGTTTTTCCTAAAGTTAACGCGAGCTATGGGAGTGGATGAGGGCTACAGAACTGTAACAAAAACAAGAATGAAATAGAGAACAGTGATTTTACAGAGCCTTATGGTTGGTCCTTGTTAGTGGAGGGTATTCACCACAGGTTTATGCCAGTGCAACAGTCTGGGGAAAAGATACACTGTCAACAATTTTGTTATATGATGTAACATTACAAGTGTTGAAAAGCATTTGTTATGAAATTATGAGCATGTTTTCACTTTGTTTTTAAGCAACAGCGTCCCAACAAAATAGAGAATGCTTAATGCCATATTCTGAAACCTCTTCTTGACTTATGGTTTAAAATGTATGATTTCAAACTGAAACCAAAGCAGATACATAAAAATAGTGACTATGCAGACGATTTGCATACAAAGGCTGTAATTCTAGATCTGTTAGGAACTTTAGGTGTCGCTGAAAGCATTGGTAGCATTGCATGTGCTACAGAGTGCCATTTCAATTGTTGTGTAATGTGCCAAATGCCAAAGACCATGTAAAAACATATGCCTTTTGTTTACTGCTTTGTTTAGTATCCTTTATAACAGCTTTCCCTAATCAAAGCTATTGAGGTTCTAGAACTTTGTCTTGCAGAATGGTTTTGCAATACAGCAGGTTTCTTCTACTCAGAGGTAAAGGTCCCACTCAGTTTCCTTCCCCCTTGCTCACCACTGCGTGTTCCCACTGTTAGCCCTGAGTTAGCTTTTTGTGCTGGGTGCATTGCCATGCAACTCACTAAAATGACAGAAAATCAGCCAGGCAAAAAAAATGGGTGAGTCGTGCAGTTTATCCTAAGAACAGACAAGTATTTCACCTGGTAAAAGTCAGAGGGTGTATCGATGTTGGAAGTGCAGACAAGGAAACTAGGGATAAAATAAACAAAACCAGGGCATACCCACTTGGGAGCGGCAAACCTTTAATTTAGCCCAGTCACACTGTGAAAATATACTCCACAAAGTGAGGGTAAAGTATTTGAATATTTATACGTTGTATGGAAGTGAAAATTCCTTTTAACTGCTTGACTTGCAAGCGGCAGCTCAGAACATATTTCTGTAAGATTTGAGCTTTAAGCAGGAATATATACATAACTACTTGCCACTCTTGGCACTGTGTTCCTGTCCCTGTGCTGCCATACGCTGTGCTTACAAGGAGTCATTTGCTATTGACTTAAACCAACGAAGCTGGTGCTGATTTGATTTTTGCAAAGTGCCTGTGAAATTTCATGTGGATGAATGACCTGATCTGAACTATCGAGCAACCACACAAATATCAGTTCATTTACAAAGAAGGAGGTGGGAAAAAAGCAGCTAGATCTGAATGGAATGGCAGGAATATTTCCATACGTTCAGTACTTGTGAGCACATATCTAGAACACTCTCTCCAGTTTGGGGGCTTCCCAATAACAGAAAAACATTGACAAACTGTAGAGAGTCCAGCATAAGACCGCCATGATGGTTACAAAGGTACTGTAGCACATCACTTATAAAAAGAGGTGAGGACAGCTGGTTTTATTCTGCAAAAGAAAATTATACGGGATAATCTAATGTGTCTTTGCCCACTCATCACATGGCTCCACTGAAGATATAACCAAACCTTTCTCAGACATATATGGAGACATGATGTAACAAACTGCAGCAAGAAAAAAATACAATTAGACATGAAAAAAATACTCTTCACAACAAGGACATCCAAACTGGAAAACTGGTTGCTCAAAGAGGTTATGGAGTTTCTACCTTTGGAGATTTTCAGAACTTTCATTAACAGCGCCCTGAACAACCTGCTGTAACTTTTTTGTCAACCACAGACTGGACCAGATGATCTCCAAAGGGCCCATAAGAACCTAAATTATTCAATGATTCTGTGTACAAGCAGCTGTGGAGGAAATGGAAGAAGGAATAGAGTGTCTTTATCCAGGATCATTGCTAAAGCCCTCGTGTTGTGAAAATACAGCCCCAGGTTCTCCAGAGCAAGGGAGTGTTAGCTTATATATGCAGTAATTGATTACAAAACATTTCACTCCCTTCCCCAGGAGAAATTGAACTGCTGCCAGTAGAGAAGGTTACATAAAGAATGATGAGCTAATAGAGGAGAGGGTTGCACTTCCAGAGTGATTGAAAATGAGTGGGAGACAGAGGCATTGAACTTATTGCTCTAAACTAATATATACAGCGTTGATCAAATTGGATTCCATTTGATTGTATCATTCCATGTACACAATTAAACTCCATACTGCAATCTAAGTTTGTCAAAACTCTGAAAAGTTAACCTATGATACACTTGCATAAAGAGGTTCATAAGAAATAGTGAATAAACAAAGCAATTACTTACAAGTACGAAGAATTTATATTGGCCAATTGCACAACTTCAGTCTTTACAGGTTCTACTGCAATCAAGATATCTTGTTCTATAGCCATAGGGAGCACGGCATAACCACAGTAGTCTATATGTTCTCCTACCAAAGAGACAGAGAATTAAAGAGATTTTTGCATAAGTCATTCTAGAGTAAGAGAAACAGGGCTTGTATAGACTTCAGTGTTGTTTACTAGATTAGACAACTTCTGAGTATAGTCCCAATTCTTACTATTTAAAGTACATCTGATAGTTTGGGGTATGTTTCCTCCATTTTGTATTTCCACACAGTGTTTGCTCTTTAGTGACTTTATCTATTGCATCTATTTACAAATCTTCACTTTTAACATTGGGTTATGAAAATTAAAGACCTCTACAAGTACTATTTTTCAGAATGAGAACAACTATATTATTTGTATACTTTTGTGTCAGTATGAAAAAATAATTCTAATTGGTGACATTTAACTGATGACTGGAAGAGATAAAGGCAGTATGTGACTTCCCAGTATGAGCTTTGCTCTGCACGTGTGGCAGATTCACTGGCTGCTGGACAAAGCTAGTGGAGGCCTTTCCTTCCATAAAATTTCTGAACTTTTTCCAAGAAAATTATAGTTACGTTTAAATAATAACTAACACACATATATATAACACACAAGGTAGCATTCAGACATGAAATGCATGTAGTGAACACACGCCTTTATGAATAAGACAGCTAACACATGCTGTTTAGATGTACACAGAACACCAAGATAAAAACTGTCATTAGTTGCACAAAAGTCTAATTATAATTTTAAAGCTCTGTTTTCTGGAGTTCTTTAACTTACAAAGCCTTCAAATGCATATGGTTACTCTATAAATATACAAGAAACTGAGCTCTAGGAAAAGCAAAAACCTAACACAGATAGAAAAATTTAAAGAAAATAAGGCTGCCATAGAAACAAAGGTAAGTTTTAGATAAATAATAATATGTCTCTCCAGGCAGCCAGTGAATCACAACCTGCTGCTTAGTGGATACGTCTCTATGGCTGAGTGAAAAAGAGATCATGGCAGAATCATTTCATGCCTTATCAGATGCATTGCTGTTTGGCTGGTTATATGTGGTAACTGAAGTCACTTAAGCAACTTACGTAGGAAAAAAAACCAACAAAAACATTATTTTAAATTATAAGTTTTAGGTTGCAATGTTTTTGTGATAGCAGATAAAGTAACAAAAGATTAATATTGCTCTTTTACCTATTAAGTTGACTCTCCCTGGTGCACGAACATAAAACTTGGGAGCTGATCCAAATTTTGCTATAAAACTCTCCTTCAGCTTCAGCAATCTGAAAGGCAAGTTGGAAACCTTCAGAGGGACAATAGTTGGATAAAAGGAAGTCTACAGCCTAAATTGTGTTCTCAAGTAAATTTGATTCAACTTTTTGAAGTACATGGAGTTTTTTCTGTTATATCAGGAGCAACATTAAGTTGTGTATTCCTGCTCTTCACCTGACATTGTGACAGAGATGACTTAGAAAACAACATCCGAATTAGTAAGAAATTTGTTTGAAAAGGGTGGGAGGAGCTTTACTTTTATTTAGTCCTGTCTAGCTTGTCTCTAGCCAAAGACAGTGTAGGTTGTTGCTTGTGGCAGCCAAATATCATGGCCTTCACCTAATTTTCCTATGCCACAGCTCTCTAAAACTATTTTACAGCAGTCTGGCAATGTGGATTGATGGCTCATACGTGGCATCAGGGCTTGTCACAAGAACAAACACAGAAGCACTCCCTGAAGAGATGGATCTGATCACACCAGGCCTCAGCAAGATTTTCTTCTACATTTTGACTTTTTCAAACTTCATAAAGACTCTGCACCATTTCAGTACCAATACATCTATGCAGAACTCAAATTCCAAGCCTGTGATTATCCCTGTGCCTCATTCAGACAGTATGGCAGCAACAGAAGGTTCTTAAGATTGTCCACTTAGAAGTTCTGGATGCATAAAAATTCCAGAACACAGAAAGACTTGAAATATTGTTGTTTTTCAAGAGACTGTAAAGATATTTAACTTCCACTGAGTGCTTGCAAACTTGGGATGCTTTCATGTGTCATGCAGAAATAGTGAGTAAAAAGAGACAAAGATGAAATTAAGCCATTATCTTAAGTGATAAGATTACTTAAGCATAAGTGATTTGATGTTGTGATGCACTTCAAAACTACCTTAATGCAATTTAGTTTACACACTGACTCATTAACTTTCATTAATGTGAGCTAGACACTAAAATGATAAAGCAGTAAGAAGAAAACTAATCATTAGAACAGGTCTTGCCCTACCGACTTTAAAGCACATAGCATTTATTTAGTTTTTTTGTGTGCTAACAAAAATCCATTAACAGGAACGTTCCACATTCAGATTAAAACTAGAATTGGATGCCTGGTCAATGCAAAGCTAAGTAAGAAGACAGCAATGAAACACAGATGTTACAAAATTTCACAGACAGTTATTTAGTTTGTACTTGTTTGTCAAAGCTGTGTTATTGTCCCAGTATATATATTCCAATGTTTTGTAAGATTTCTCTGGGTGGAAAGCTACAGAACAATATTTGCTGTGAACTTTCAAATAGATCTTTCTGCACTTTTCTCCCTTGGAGCCCAGCAACAAAACTGTGTTCCCTCTTTGATTTGCTTACGATCTTCCCTAACATTGACTAGTTTATCACTTCCAATTAACAGATGCAACTTCTGCCGTTTCACTGTACAGTCCCTTTTTCTAAATCACACGAATGATAACGCTGTAGTCCATGGTAAAATAGATCAGTTGGCAGAGTCCGAGATGTTAATGTTTTTCTGTCGGCACGCTTGTTTCACAGATACGTGCACAGTGGTGTTAGCACCAAGCAGAGCAGCCACAGGGGCACGCTGATCCAAGTGCTGACTGATCGTGGCTTTTTAATGTGGGTTTACAACCCCTCACGAAGGGCCATTCCCGGATTTCGGCCTCGTTGCAACACACGTGCTGCAACGTAAGCACCTACATCAGAAGAAGCAAACGCATCCCTCACAGCTTCACACGTTCGACTCTGGAAATGCCGAACTGCCTTCCACGTGATTCAAATCCCGACAAGTGTCGGAACGGCGATTTCCTGCCTGCAGCAGCAGCACGGCCGGACACAGCGGGCAGCCAGCGCTGAAAGGCCTCACGTGGCCGCAGCCCCGGGGCTCCGCGCGGCCCGCCACCGCCCGCCGATGGCCGCGCGGCCCGGCTGCCCCCGGGCTCCGCCGCGCCGAGGCTGATGACACAACCGGCCGCGCCCCGCTCTCCCCTCGCGCGGCCGCCCGCCAGCCCGTCACGGACGCGGCCTCGCGCTGAGGGCGGGAGCGGGGCGGCCGCCCGGCCGGCACCCACCTGGGCTGCTCCACCAGCTGCACCGGGACGGTACCGGGGGCGTCTGCCGCCATGGCGACCCCTCCCCGGAGCCCCGCGCGGAGGCGGGCGGGCGGTCGCCGCGGCGGTCACGAGACGGGCGGACGCCGTCCTTCCGGGTGGCGGAGCCGCCGGCCCGGCCCCCTCCGCTCCCGGCGCGCGGCCCCCGCTGCGCGGTGTCGAGGCTGCTGCTGCGCGGGAGGGGCGCGCGTGGCCTCGTTCCGTCAGAGCTCGGCTGGCAGCGAGAAGCGTTACGAGCCGGGCCCAGCGCGGCACGAGCCAAGCGAACGGGTCCGCCGCCGGGATTCCGGCGCGCGTTACGGAACACCGCCCGAGAGGGCAGCGCTTCTCCGCGACGTCGTTTTTTCTGTCTCGGTTGCGAGGCGCGGTTCTGCCGCTCGCCTCGGCCGGGCCGCTTCCCCTCGGCAGCGGTTACCCCGGTTGCCGCTGTTTGTGCGAGTGCCGTCACGGCACCTCAGGAAGGTTTAAATGCTCGGGCTGAGGAAAGGCGCACCGCCACCCGCGTCACGCCCTGATGTCGCAGGTTAGCGCGCCTTGCTGAGGCGGTTTTTTACCTCAGGTCAGCAAGGATCAGAGAGTTAGAAGGCAGGTTTTAAAGGACAAGCGGCCCAAACAAAAACACACGAAAATAACACAGAACGGCCAACGTCCCCAGCGGCAATCCGCAGCGCAAACTGCCGGGCTCTGCGACACCGCACAGACTCGGCAGCACCGCGTTCGCCCCTCGGTTTCCCTCACACTAGCAGTTACACTGTAATATTCCCGCGAGCCCGGCGGCCCCGCAACCCTCTGAGGCTCTTTTTCCTTTTTCCCTTCGGTTTGGGCTTTTCAAACCCGGTGCCGCGGCATCCGCTCGGCACGCTTCGCGGCGCTCCGCCGCCCTCACACCCGGCAGGGCACACACCGGCCCCGCCCGCCGCCCGCGGTTGCCACGGCCGCTCGCTCACGCGCACGGGAAGCCGGGCGGCACCCGCCGCGTTCCGGCCGCCCCCGCGCGACGGCGGGTTCCGGGCGGAGCGGAGCCGCATTGGGCGGCGCCGCGCGGGGTTGTGGGAGAAGGGGCCGGCCGCTTCCCTCCCCCCGCCCGTCCTCCGGCCAAGATGTCTGACATGGAGGATGATTTCATGTGCGACGATGAGGAGGACTACGACCTGGTGAGGGCGGGACGCGGGGAGCGGAGGGCGCGGCGCAGGGACCTCGCGGGCTCAGCGGCCTCGGGCGCTGCCCCGCGCCGGCACGAGGGGCTGCGCTCTCCGGGGAGGCCGCGGGCCGCCGGGCCCCGCGCTCCGCTCCGGCTTGGCGAGTACGGGCCGCTACTCGGCGGGCGGCGGGGCTGACCGCGCGGGGCCGGGCCCCGGTGCTCGCTTCGGTGTCCGCCTGCGGAATTGCGCGGCTTGAGCGCGGCGCACGGCGGCCCCAGAGCGCCGGGGTGCGCCCGTCCTGAACTTGTTGTGTCTGCTTTGACGCCGAGCCGCTCGCTCCTCTAATTGCAGAGAGCCCGATTGGTTGTGTGGCGTTTTGACATCAGGTCTCATGCTAAGCTTTTACGGTTGAAAAGGAAATAACAGTAGAAGGCCGCTCGCGGTTAGCCACAGACAGACCGATTTATCCAGAAAAAAAAAAAAAAAAAAATGGGAATGTGATGGGATTTATGCTAAGGGTTCTCCCTTACTTAAAGCACTTTTTTGCTATGGGGAAACAAAAACAAAACAAAACAAAAAAACCCCTCAGACATTGTGAGAAGGTTAATAAACTAAATGTCACTCAAAACAAAATATGTTCTGGGCTCTCTGGTCATTTACAGTTGTTGCCATCATTGCATATTGGGGCTTGAGGTTCAGCTGTTTCTCTTCTGGTTTTCATTTGGGTCGTTGTATTTGTTTGTTTTGCTTTTCTGAACTTTGCATGGCTTTTTAGAACTGAGACATTCTCCAAAAGCTCTGTAGCAGAGGACTGCAAATCAATATGTCATTTACTTCAGTTAAACCTGTATTTACAGCAATGCAGTTTCATTGAAAACACCAGGCCTCTGCTTATGGGAGAGTTTGTGGTTAAATTTGCAGACTGATTTAAAACTGTGTTTATTTTCTCATGCAATGCTGTCAAATGAACAAAAAACAGAGTTTGGGTCGACTATACGTAACATGAGAACTGGATGTGTAGAGAAACCATTGGAGGTACACTTTGCAGTTTCTAAATGCAGCCATCCGCCGTTTTTGAGTAAGTAGTGCAGCTCTGTGCTCACAACGTGTTACGTCAAGTTTTTCCCGAGGATAGTTGCTGGTTTGATGCTTCTTCTCATGTTAAGTGTTTTTTTTCATTATTGGAAGAACTTCTTGCTTGTGGCAAATGTCAGCCCCTTCCTGCAGCTAATTTTCGCACAACATTTCTATTGTCATTAATTGGCTCTACTCTGGAATTTACAGGTAGTTCAGAATATATCTACTTCTTTTCAGTGCATAACTCTCAGGTAAAATGTCAAAGAATACTTAAGCTGCATCTTTAAATAAAACTTTTTTTTTTTTTTCCATTTTGTTTGGATTTGTAACAGATGAAGGAAAGAAAACCCAGAATTTAAGAATAAAGATACTTCAGCTGAACTAGTTTCTGTTCTCACACTAACAAACTGTGACTGGATGTTGTTTTCAGACATGCTTGAGACTGTAATTGCAGCATCCAACAAAACTGTTTTGGAAAATGGTTGAGTAAGCCTCTTATGAAGACAGGGATTCGTTTCTTCTTTCATGGTGATATGAATAATGAACAGAGGGCTGTGTGAGGGTACATAGCTCTCATTTCAGAGTATGTGCTGCTGCAGGAAGTTTGGAAACAGAAGAGCACAGTGCAGGGCAATGTACAGAATAGCACAGAATTGAAAACAAAGGAGCACAGCTGAGTGTTAGTATTTTGTTACCAGTAGGGAGAGAGAGGCAGGAATTGAGGAGAATTATTGGTAAGAGGAACACACAGCTATGTTGTCACAATGCAGTACATCAGATGTCCAAGGAGGGAAAAAAAGCCTTAAAAATTTTGATTTTGTCAGAGGTGGTTATGACTGTTCCTCTTTAAATGTGCTCTGACCTGACTGTGTAGAAACAGTCAGTTGTGTTTCCTGAAGGATGCAAATGTTTTGCACTTGAACTGAAATGTGAACTGATATTCTGAAGGCTGAGCTCGATCCCAACTTCATCGTAGGTTTTGCCTAATCAGAGCAGTTGCTGCACTGCCAAACAACTGAAGGCTGTCCTATTACATGACAATAACAGTACATTACTATTATTTCTGCTTAGTTTTCTGCTGGGTTAAAAGTGAACTTTTTTCCTATAAGTGACCTTACACAGTCATAGAAGTTAACTTTATCTGCTGGCAATCTGCAGATCAGCAAAAAAAAAAAAAAAAAAAAAATTATTTATGGGTGGATGAAGCTAGATTCAGAATTTGCTAATAGTGTACGCTGACAGCTTTGATTATAACACGGATTATTGCACTTTACGCTTCAATAAACAGGATAATGTTTTCTGGTTGTTAGGAAAACCACTGAATTTTAATTGCTTGTTTGGGGCTTTACATGATTTCAGCCCAAGTTCATTTTACTTGTTTCAGCTGAAGGGTGGAGAGAGAAGGAAGGACCATTGTAACCACTGTTCCTGTTCTCAGCCCCTGACAGCAAGCTGTGCTTAGAATTGACTTTGATGCTGAACTCAGCCTTCCTCTAGAAACTGATAATTCCAGGCACAATGACAGCACATTGACAGTTACTGTAATCCCTCTTTAATTTTGTTTTGCTTTAAACGCAAAGAAGGATTTGCCTGTCATGCTGTTAATAAGACATCGTATTGTGTGCTGAAATTCAATTTAAAAATTAATCAGGGGAAGGTAGCCAAATCTGTTTGCTGGGCAACTTTGTGTGTTTATGTTTGTTGTTGTATTATTTCGGTGACTTCAGCAGAAGAGCTCTGTACAGTTTGCATGAAGAGCTGTCTGTTCTTGTTCCAGGGAAGTTGTTACAGATTCATGACATGCAGATTCCCTTTTCAGACTGTGGCAATATTAAGAAATTTGCAGTTGTACGTTTTATTTCAGGCTGTCAGACAGGTAGTAAGCTTGAATTGGCTCACTCTTTCTTTTTAGCTCTAGGAAGCATAAACCCATTTCAGAAGAAATTTCTGTATGCTATCAAACTTTATAAGCACTCTCATCAGCAGATGGAAAATATCCTGCCTTACTTTGATGTATTTTTAATAGATAGAGTTGAAATTTTGAGTAGATTGTCACCTCTTCCCAGTGCTTGTGTTTCAGTATTTCCATCATTGAAAAAACTACGTGTGTTAGTTATAATGCAAACAAGAGGCAGCAAAACCTAACTTGCATAACTAGGGAAATACCAAATTGGGCAGGTCCTGTTTATACTCTTCTGTTTCTTTGTTGTGTTTAATTACATTAATATGTGATTTTAAAAAAGCATTCTGTGCATTTCACGAACGACATGGGATTCACTGTTCTTTGAATTCATTACCATTTCATATTTTACATGGATTCAGTGTGTGTGCTGATGTTCCATTTTATGCATTCTCTTCAGATTCACTCATAAGCACAGAATCAATATATTTAGGGCTTTTTTTTCTCATCACTATGATGTCTTATACGAAAGTATTGAGGCAAAGAGGATGAGAATAACTAGTGAGTAAATTCTTTCTTTGTGAATCGTGGTAACCTTGATGTAAGTTCTGATTATTATTATGGTGACTGTTTTAGAGAAAGTATTTAGCACTTTGCTGAGAAGTGAGCTCCCCAGGACCTGAGGGGCAGTTCCGTGTTAAATGTAAGTAAGTTAGCTGCCAGGTTCCTAGAAAAGGATGCCCAGAATTAGAGGAGAGCTGTGTGGTAGCTGTAGGAAAAAAGGCACTTATTTCAGATACTGCTTACGTGTCATAATGCCATTTTTTCTTTCTGAAGTCTCCTGTCTCATTTCTGCGCATCTCTCAAGCTCTGCTTGAAAAGATAACGCAAAGGCAGAAGCAGTCGCTCAGTAGAGCTGTACTGACCCTATTGC